CAGACACAACACGCAGACACACACGCAGACACACACGCAGACGCACACGCAGACGCACACACACACACAGACACACACACAGACACACACGCAGACACACACACGCAGACACACACGCAGACACACACGCAGACACGCAGACACACACGCAGACACACACACGCACACACACAGACACACACGCAGACACGCACACACACAGACACACACGCAGACACGCACGCAGACACGCACGCAGACACGCACGCAGACACGCACGCAGACACGCACACAGACACACACGCAGACACACACGCAGACACACACACGCACACACGCGCACGCACACACAGATACACAGACACGCACGTACACGCACACAGACACACACACAGACACACACACAGACACACACACAGACACACACGCAGACACGCACGCACACACACGCACAATACATACACACTGCACACACACACACGCAGACACACACCGACACACACCGACACACACACACCGACACACACACACACGCCACCCACCCACCCCACACCCCCCTAATTAATTATATATGTCACCACGTGGAATGTTTAACCCCCCCCACCACCCCCCCCCCCACCACCCCCCCCCACCACCACCCCACGAGGGGCTCATTCCGCTTTGTGTGCACGCGACGACCGCCATTTTTGGGTGTGGCGCGAAAAACTGACGTCACAAAGGGTGGGGGGGGGGGCAGTGACAGGGGCGGGTCATGAGGGGTGTGTGCGGCCACGTGGTGCGGTCACGTGGTCCGGCCGTTTGGGTTTGTGGGTCTCTATGGTTCTATGTCTCTGAGGTTCTATAGGAGTCTGGGTCTCTAGGTCCGTCCATAAATGACGTCACACACCTAGGGGGGGGGGGTCAGACATGTGTGACGAGGGGTGGAGGGGGGGTTTTGAGAAATGTGGCGTCACATCAAAATGTGCAACTTTAACTAAATATAAACAATACAATTGTTATAACATTAATTTTGACTAATTTTCATTAACTATTTGATTATTTAAATTTACTAAGGTCACCTTTTTCTTCTCCATGGCAGATTGGAGAAGCATAAATTTAGTAAATGTTTTTAATGATTGTTATGAAACATTTTGATTCTAATGATTCTAGCAGGACATTTCATTCTGTGGAATGAATATAATGTTTGATTCTTATAATTGAACTCTCCATTTTGCTTCGTTCTACTGAAAAGTTTCAAGTATTTTTTTATAGTTATAATTACTTTAATATTTTATAATTATAAGCGAATTTCAATATAATATTCTGAACATCTGCAGTTTTAGTTAGACGTTGAATAATTTAAAGTGAATTTTATGCTAAATTTCAGCTTTCCAACGCCTCCTTTTTAATAAATGTTTTCTCCTACAACCTCAGAGTGCAGTGCCACATTAAATACGCACTACAATGACAATAGTTTAAAGCGATTTGAAGCATGTTTTATTTTCAAAATGGAAATGTGGTTTGGGGGGGGGGGGGGCAGAGCTTTGTGACGTCATATTTGAGGGGGGTCTGACTTTTTGTAAAGCCGTGTGAGGGGGGGGGGGTCAAATGTCAGCCAAAATCACGTGACGTCATTTATGGACAGACCTTCTGGTTCTATATGACTCTCTGTGGGTCTCTGATTCTATATGAGTCTCTGCGTGTCTCTGTGGGTCTCTGGTTCTATATGAGTCTCTGTGGGTCTCTGATTCTATATGAGTCTCTGTGGGTCTCTGATTCTATATGAGTCTCTGTGTGTCTCTGTGGGTCTCTGGTTCTATATGAGTCTCTGGTTCTATACGAGTCTCTGTGGGTCTCTGATTCTATATGAGTCTCTGTGTGTCTCTGTGGGTCTGGTTCTATATGAGTCTCTGTGGGTCTCTGGTTCTATATGAGTCTCTGTGGGTCTCTGGTTCTATATGAGTCTCTGTGGGTCTCTGATTCTATATGAGTCTCTGTGGGTCTCTGATTCTATATGAGTCTCTGTGGGTCTCTGGTTCTATATGAGTCTCTGTGGGTCTCTGGTTCTATACGAGTCTCTGTGGGTCTCTGATTCTATACGAGTCTCTATGGTTCTATACGAGTCTGTGGGTCTCTGTGGGTCTCTATGGTTCTATATGAGTCTCTATGGGTCTCTGAGTCTCTGTGGGTCTCTGATTCTATATGAGTCTCTGTGGGTCTGTCTGAGTCTCTGTGGGTCTCTATGGTTCTATATGGGTCTCTGTGGGTCTCTGTGTGTCTCTGTGGGTCTCTAGTGAGGGTGACCACCACACGCACCGCCGCCGTATCTAAGAGGGCGGCCCAAATCGCCAGATCCGCACCGCGATCCTCGGCAACCAACGGCGCCCCAAACGTGAATGGGACGGTGAAACCAAAAGTGTCACTGTGTGTGTGTGTTACTGTGTGTGTGTCACTGTGTGTGTGTGTGTCACTGTGTGTGTGTCACTGTGTGTGTGTGTCACTGTGTGTGTGTGTGTCACTGTGTGTGTGTGTCACTGTGTGTGTGTGTGTGTCACTGTGTGTGTGTGTGTGTCACTGTGTGTGTGTGTCACTGTGTGTGTCACTGTGTGTGTCACTGTGTGTGTGTGTCACTGTGTGTGTCACTGTGTGTGTGTGTCACTGTGTGTGTGTGTGTCACTGTGTGTGTCACTGTGTGTGTCACTGTGTGTGTGGGGAGCGGTGGTGCAGTGGTTCACGCTGCACTACGAACCCGGGAGACCCGAGTTAGATTCCCGCTCACGGCCACCACCACCACCACCAGTGATAGCGATGCTCTGAACCGGTCCAGGCCCTCCGCTAGGTCGACTCGGCCTAAAATGAGTACCCGGTGCGTAGTAAACATTGCCACTGGGGGAGACAAAGGCGGCCGGGCGTGGTGCTGGCCACCCACCCCCTCGTGTGCCACAGCGCCGGTAGCCTTCATTATGTGCTGCTACTCGCTACTGACAGCACTTGCCCCTGCAGCCTGCTAATCCTGTGTGTGCGTGTTAGACTCGTGGTCTGTGTGCGTGTTAGACTATGTGTCTGTGTGCGCGTTAGACTATGTGTCTGTGTGCGTGTTAGACTCGTGGTCTGTGTGCGTGTTAGACTATGTGTCTGTGTGCGTGTTAGACTCGTGGTCTGTGTGCGTGTTAGACTATGTGTCTGTGTGCGCGTTAGACTATGTGTCTGTGTGCGTGTTAGACTCGTGGTCTGTGTGCGTGTTAGACTATGTGTCTGTGTGCGTGTTAGACTCGTGGTCTGTGTGCGTGTTAGACTATGTGTCTGTGTGCGCGTTAGACTATGTGTCTGTGTGCGTGTTAGACTCGTGGTCTGTGTGCGTGTTAGACTATGTGTCTGTGTGCGTGTTAGACTCGTGGTCTGTGTGCGTGTTAGACTATGTGTCTGTGTGCGCGTTAGACTATGTGTCTGTGTGCGTGTTAGACTCGTGGTCTGTGTGCGTGTTAGACTATGTGTCTGTGTGCGTGTTAGACTCGTGGTCTGTGTGCGTGTTAGACTATGTGTCTGTGTGCGCGTTAGACTATGTGTCTGTGTGCGTGTTAGACTCGTGGTCTGTGTGCGTGTTAGACTATGTGTCTGTGTGCGTGTTAGACTCGTGGTCTGTGTGCGTGTTAGACTATGTGTCTGTGTGCGCGTTAGACTATGTGTCTGTGTCGTGTTAGACTCGTGGTCTGTGGCGTGTTAGACTATGTGTCTGTGTGCGTGTTAGACTCTGGTCTGTGTGCGTGTTAGACTATGTGTCTGTGTGCGCGTTAGACTATGTGTCTGTGTGCGTGTTAGACTCGTGGTCTGTGTGCGTGTTAGACTATGTGTCTGTGTGCGTGTTAGACTCGTGGTCTGTGTGCGTGTTAGACTATGTGTCTGTGTGCGTGTTAGACTATGTGTCTGTGTGCGTGTTAGACTCGTGGTCTGTGTGCGTGTTAGACTATGTGTCTGTGTGCGTGTTAGACTCGTGGTCTGTGTGCGTGTTAGACTATGTGTCTGTGTGCGTGTTAGACTGTGTCTGTGTGCGTGTTAGACTCGTGGTCTGTGTGCGTGTTAGACTATGTGTCTGTGTGCGTGTTAGACTGTGTCTGTGTGCGTGTTAGACTCGTGGTCTGTGTGCGTGTTAGACTATGTGTCTGTGTGCGTGTTAGACTGTGTCTGTGTGCGCGCGTGAGAATTGGCGGATCCATCTGTGCGGATTCCGCCGGGGATTCTGGGGGACGAGGATTGGAGCGAAGGCGGCGATAATGAACACAAAACCAACAACGTCGTCATCATCATCAACATCATCATCATCAACATCGTCGTCGTCAACAACACTATCATTAAAATGCATTTGCTTAAAAGGTACTTAAAGTAAAATATCTCCATCATAATTATTATAATTCATTAATCGTATTATTTATCATTCGTCAATAATATGAACTCTTTTAAATACCGTGCCACCACCACCGCCACCACCGCCACCACCACCACCACCACCATATTCACGTTGCCGTGAGCCTCACTTCCATTGCACCCAGCCCCCCCCCCGCCCCGCGCTCTGTGTGTGTGTCTCACACGCGGCTGGTGTCATCTGCCAATCAATAAGCCTCTGTGCCCGGGAGTGTCGGCACGAGCTACCACTCAACCACCCACCCACCACAGCAACCACCCACCACATCAACCACCCACCCACCACAGCAACCACCCACCACATCAACCACCCACCCACCACAGCAACCACCCACCACAGCAACCACCCACCACATCAACCACCCACCCACCACAGCAACCACCCCACCACCACAGCAACCACCCACCAACCACATCAACCACCCACCACATCAACCACCCACCCACCACAGCAACCACCCCACCACCACAGCAACCACCCACCAACCACATCAACCACCCACCAACAACCCAGCCACATCAACCACCCACCCACCACATCAACCACCCACCAACAACCCAGCCACGTCAACCACATCAACCACCCACCCACCCACCACATCAACCACCCACCACATCAACCACCCACCAACAACCCAGCAACATCAACCAACTACCCACCACATCAACCACCCACCAACAACCCAGCAACATCAACCAACCACCCACCACATCAACCAGTCAATTTAGCCACCCACCCACTACCCACCCACCACCCACCACCCCCCACTACCCCCCACCACCGGCTGACGCTTCTCTAGGCCGCACCGAGTTGAGAGTCACCAAGCGGCATCACCGCCGCCTCGGGTCGGGCTCCTCACAAGGGGGGGGCACGGGGGGGGCACGGGGGGGGGCTGTGAGTTGGGGGGGGCTGTGAGTTGGGGGGGGGGCTGCGAGTTGGGGGGGGGCTGCGAGTTCCACCGCCTAATTGGTCGACCGTTCGAATCATCCATCCAATCGCGAGCCGCGTATATCCCATCCGTGGGCAATTGACTATTTATTACCCCACCACCACCACCACCACTCACCACCACCACCAACAACCATCACAACCATCCCCAGATCAACAACCCCCACCCACCACCAACCACCCCCCATCAACAACCCGAATCAAGGAGAACCCGTATTAACAAGCCATACTATCAGCCACCGCCACCACCACCACCCCTACCAACAACCACCCACAGCATCAGCAATCGGCATCAACAACCCCGGGGCCATACCGAGCCAGGCTGTTTTTTTTCCACTACACAAGCCGAGCCGTGCCAGGGCCATACTGAGCCGGCCTGGCTCGGTATGGCCCGTGAGGCCAGCGTAGCACGGTTTGGTTCTGGTTCGGCTCTCGGCTCGGGTTTGCCAGTGGAAAAGGCTCCTTCTAACATCTCGTGAGGCCAGCGTAGCACGGTTTGGCTCTGGCTCAGCTCGGGTTTGCCAGTGGAAAAGGCTCCATCTGACATCTCGTGAGGCCAGCGTAGCACGGTTTGGCTCTGGCTCAGCTCGAGTTTGCCAGTGGAAAAGGCTCCATCTGATATCTCGTGAGGCCAGCGAAGCACGGTTTGGTTCCGGGTCGGTTCGGAAAAGTGGACCAGTGGGAAAAACCCCCACCAGTGCCGTGCTGGCCCTGCAGGTGGCTTGGCTCGGGTTCGGCAGTGGAAAAACGTCGCCATCGGAGAACCGGAAACCGCCGGAAACCGCGATCGCAGACCCCCCCCCCCCCCCCCCCGCAAGGTGATGTCACAGAAGTCTGCCCCCCAACGCCACCGCCCGTCCACCGTCACCTCTCCTCCTTCGCCTCTCACCTCCCGACCGCCGTCACGCGCACGCACGCAGAAGCACGTACAAGAATCCAGCCGGCCCGGCGACATGCGACATGTTGTCATGTCGCATGTTGCATGTTGCATGTTGTCATGTCGCATGTTGACATGTCAACAGAACTCCCCCCCCCCCCTCCCCCCTCTTGCCCCCCCACCTCGCATCACGACGACGCGCACACTTGGATGCACACACACATACACACACATGCACACACACGCACTTGCACGTACACACACACGCACACACGGGGGAGGGCGACGTGGTGGGCGTTGCGTGGGTGGGTGGTGGGGGCTTGCGTACGTGGGGGGGGGGGGGGGTTACCCGGCGGGGGATGTGGGAGGAGACTTTGGGGGTGCGGGACGCGGGGCGTTGAGGGGGTGGAACTCGGATTCTCAACCAAACAGCTCCACCACCGTGGAAGAAGCTCGCTAGGCGGCCGCACCCCCCCCTCCACCCCCCCCCTTCACCCCCGGGGGGGTGGTGGCTGAGTGGACGGGGAGGGTCACGCGGGGGTCACGCGGGGGTCACGCCGGGGTCACCACCCCCCCCCCCCCCCCCCCCGCGGCGCTCAGTAGACCCAGGAGACGGGGACCCACTGCGGCGTGGCGCTGACGGCGGCGATGGCCTCCTCCACCTGGCGGATGGTCTCCTCGATCTCGTTGTTGACCACCGTCAGGTCGAAGTAGTGGCCGTACGCCTTCTGCAGCAGCTCCGACTCCTTCTGCAGGCGCTGCAGAGACTCGTCCTGCGGAGTGGAGGGCGGGCAGGGGGGGCGCTGCGGTCATCGGCGTCGTTGCGACCGTCCGGACGTCGGTCGCCGTCGTGGCAAAAAGCGGCGGTGGCGGCGGCGGCGTCGTTAATCCGGCAGCGGCGTCGGCGTTAATCCGTCGAGGGTTTAGTGAGGAACGCTCTTAGAAGTCCTCTCTCGAGGTGGCGGTGAGATCGCTCGTGAGACGGCGATCACGATGAGACTCGCCATCACCCAGTTTCACTCAACAAGGTTCACGATGAGACTCACGATCACCCAGTTTCACTCACAAAGTTCACGATGAGACTCACCATCACCCAGTTTCACTCACAAAGTTCACGATGAGACTCACCATCACCCAGTTTCACTCACAAAGTTCACGATGAGACTCACCATCACCCAGTTTCACTCACAAAGTTCACGATGAGACTCACCATCACCCAGTTTCACTCACAAAGTTCACGATGAGACTCGCCATCACCCAGTTTCACTCACAAAGTTCACGATGAGACTCGCCATCACCCAGTTTCACTCAACAAGGTTCACGATGAGACTCGCCATCACCCAGTTTCACTCACAAAGTTCACGATGAGACTCGCCATCACCCAGTTTCACTCACAAAGTTCACGATGAGACTCGCCATCACCCAGTTTCACTCACACAGTTCACGACGAGACTCACCATCACCCAGTTTGACTCACAAAGATCACGATGAGACTCACCATCACCCAGTTTGACTCACAAAGTTCACGACGAGACTCACCATCACCCAGTTTCACTCACACAGTTCACGACGAGACTCACGATCACCCAGTTTCACTCACAAAGTTCACGATGAGACTCACCATCACCCAGTTTCACTCACAAAGTTCACGATGAGACTCACCATCACCCAGTTTCACTCACAAAGTTCACGATGAGACTCACGATCACCCAGTTTCACTCACAAAGTTCACGATGAGACTCACCATCACCCAGTTTCACTCACAAAGATCACGATGAGACACACGATCACCCAGTTTCACTCACAAAGTTCACGATGAGACTCGCCATCACCCAGTTTCACTCACAGAGTTCACGATGAGACTCACCATCACCCAGTTTCACTCACAAAGATCACGATGAGACTCACGATCACCCAGTTTCACTCACAAAGTTCACGATGAGACTCACCATCACCCAGTTTCACTCACAAAGTTCACGATGAGACTCGCGATCACCCAGTTTCACTCACAGAGTTCACGATGAGACTCACCATCACCCAGTTTCACTCACAAAGTTCACGATGAGACTCACCATCACCCAGTTTCACTCACAGAGTTCACGATGAGACTCGCGATCACCCAGTTTCACTCACAAAGATCACGATGAGACTCACGATCACCCAGTTTCACTCACAAAGTTCACGATGAGACTCACCATCACCCAGTTTCACTCACAGAGTTCACGATGAGACTCGCGATCACCCAGTTTCACTCATAAAGATCACGATGAGACTCACCATCACCCAGATTCACTCACAGAGTTCACGATGAGACTCACCATCACCCAGTTTCACTCACAAAGTTCACCATGAGACTCACCATCACCCAGTTTCACTCACAAAGTTCACCATGAGACTCACCATCACCCAGTTTCACTCACAAAGTTCACCATGAGACTCACCATCACCCAGTTTCACTCACAAAGTTCACGATGAGACTCACCATCACCCAGTTTCACTCACAAAGTTCACGATGAGACTCGCCATCACCCAGTTTCACTCACAAAGTTCACGATGTGACTCATCATCACCCAGTTTCACTCACAGAGTTCACGATGAGACTCACCATCACCCAGTTTCACTCACAGAGTTCACGATGTGACTCACCATCACCCAGTTTCACTCGCAAAGTTCACGATGAGACTCGCCATCACCCAGTTTCACTCACAAAGTTCACGATGTGACTCACCATCACCCAGTTTCACTCACAGAGTTCACGATGTGACTCACCATCACCCAGTTTCACTCACAAAGTTCACGATGAGACTCACCATCACCCAGTTTCACTCACAGAGTTCACGATGAGACTCACCATCACCCAGTTTCACTCACAAAGTTCACGATGAGACTCATCATCACCCAGTTTCACTCACAAAGTTCACGATGAGACTCACCATCACCCAGTTTCACTCACAGAGTTCACGACGAGACTCACCATCACCCAGTTTCACTCACAGAGTTCACGACGAGACTCACCATCACCCAGTTTCACTCACAAAGTTCACGATGAGACTCACCATCACCCAGTTTCACTCACAAAGTTCACGATGAGACTCACCATCACCCAGTTTCACTCACAAAGTTCACGATGAGACTCACCATCACCCAGTTTCACTCACAAAGTTCACGATGAGACTCGCGATCACCCAGTTTCACTCACAAAGTTCACGATGAGACTCACCATCACCCAGTTTCACTCACAAAGTTCACGATGAGACTCACCATCACCCAGTTTCACTCACAAAGTTCACGATGAGACTCGCGATCACCCAGTTTCACTCACAGAGTTCACGATGAGACTCACCATCACCCAGTTTCACTCACAGAGTTCACGATGAGACTCATGATCACCCAGTTTCACTCACAGAGTTCACGATGAGACTCGCGATCACCCAGTTTCACTCAGAGTTCACGATGAGACTCACCATCACCCAGTTTCACTCACAGAGTTCACGATGAGACTCATGATCACCCAGTTTCACTCACAGAGTTCACGATGAGACTCACCATCACACAGTTTCACTCACAAAGTTCACGATGTGACTCACCATCACCCAGTTTCACTCACAAAGTTCACGATGAGACTCACGATCACCCAGTTTCACTCACAAAGTTCACGATGAGACTCACCATCACCCAGTTTCACTCACAAAGTTCACGATGAGACTCACCATCACCCAGTTTCACTCACAAAGTTCACGATGAGACTCACCATCACCCAGTTTCACTCACAAAGTTCACCATGAGACTCACCATCACCCAGTTTCACTCACAAAGTTCACCATGAGACTCACCATCACCCAGTTTCACTCACAAAGTTCACGATGAGACTCACCATCACCCAGTTTCACTCACAAAGTTCACGATGAGACTCGCCATCACCCAGTTTCACTCACAAAGTTCACGATGTGACTCATCATCACCCAGTTTCACTCACAGAGTTCACGATGAGACTCACCATCACCCAGTTTCACTCACAGAGTTCACGATGAGACTCATCATCACCCAGTTTCACTCACAGAGTTCACGATGAGACTCGCCATCACCCAGTTTCACTCACAAAGTTCACGATGAGACTCATCATCACCCAGTTTCACTCACAGAGTTCACGATGAGACTCGCCATCACCCAGTTTCACTCACAAAGTTCACGACGAGACTCACCATCACCCAGTTTCACTCACAAAGTTCACGATGAGACTCACCATCACCCAGTTTCACTCACAGAGTTCACGATGAGACTCGCCATCACCCAGTTTCACTCACAAAGTTCACGATGAGACTCACCATCACCCAGTTTCACTCACAAAGTTCACGATGAGACTCACCATCACCCAGTTTCACTCACAGAGTTCACGATGAGACTCACCATCACCCAGTTTCACTCACAGAGTTCACGATGAGACTCACCATCACCCAGTTTCACTCACAAAGTTCACGATGAGACTCACCATCACCCAGTTTCACTCACAGAGTTCACGACGAGACTCACCATCACCCAGTTTCACTCACAAAGTTCACGATGAGACTCACCATCACCCAGTTTCACTCACAGAGTTCACGATGTGACTCACCATCACCCAGTTTCACTCACAAAGTTCACGATGAGACTCGCCATCACCCAGTTTCACTCACAAAGTTCACGATGTGACTCACCATCACCCAGTTTCACTCACAGAGTTCACGATGTGACTCACCATCACCCAGTTTCACTCACAAAGTTCACGATGAGACTCACCATCACCCAGTTTCACTCACAGAGTTCACGATGAGACTCACCATCACCCAGTTTCACTCACAAAGTTCACGATGAGACTCACCATCACCCAGTTTCACTCACAGAGTTCACGACGAGACTCACCATCACCCAGTTTCACTCACAGAGTTCACGACGAGACTCACCATCACCCAGTTTCACTCACAAAGTTCACGATGAGACTCACCATCACCCAGTTTCACTCACAAAGTTCACGATGAGACTCACCATCACCCAGTTTCACTCACAAAGTTCACGATGAGACTCACCATCACCCAGTTTCACTCACAAAGTTCACGATGAGACTCGCGATCACCCAGTTTCACTCACAAAGTTCACGATGAGACTCACCATCACACAGTTTCACTCACAAAGTTCACGATGTGACTCACCATCACCCAGTTTCACTCACAAAGTTCACGATGAGACTCACGATCACCCAGTTTCACTCACAAAGTTCACGATGAGACTCACCATCACCCAGTTTCACTCACAAAGTTCACGATGAGACTCACCATCACCCAGTTTCACTCACAAAGTTCACGATGAGACTCACCATCACCCAGTTTCACTCACAAAGTTCACCATGAGACTCACCATCACCCAGTTTCACTCACAAAGTTCACCATGAGACTCACCATCACCCAGTTTCACTCACAAAGTTCACGATGAGACTCACCATCACCCAGTTTCACTCACAAAGTTCACGATGAGACTCGCCATCACCCAGTTTCACTCACAAAGTTCACGATGTGACTCATCATCACCCAGTTTCACTCACAGAGTTCACGATGAGACTCACCATCACCCAGTTTCACTCACAGAGTTCACGATGAGACTCATCATCACCCAGTTTCACTCACAGAGTTCACGATGAGACTCGCCATCACCCAGTTTCACTCACAAAGTTCACGATGAGACTCACCATCACCCAGTTTCACTCACAAAGTTCACGACGAGACTCACCATCACCCAGTTT